TCTTGATAGTTTCATCATATTCTTTATGTTACGATAATTCATTTTCAGAATTCGTTCTGAATATTCGCATTCATTTAAAAATATTTTGTTTTCCGAAACAATTAGTATTTTCAGAAGTTATTTTGAAAGATTTGGATTCAGTCGTTATGTCATTCCAGTGACTTGCGGCTTGCTTGCAACTTGCTTGTGACTTTGATGTTTTGCGACTTTGGCCAATCATTACAATACAGAGTATGAAACATATTATTGAACTGACAAAACCTCTGAAGTCGCTAACAAATAAAACAAATGAGTATGAGTGAATTTGTTGTTTTTGTTATAATTTATTTTGGATTCATTGAAATTCGTTAATATTGTGATTTTGTCCAAATTTTAAATCTAATGAAGCTAATCGCACATGTCTAGGGTTGATTTACTAAAGCCGGAGAGTGTAAAATCTGGTGCAGCTGTGCATAGTAGTCAATCAGCACCCAGGTTTTATTGTCAAAGCTCAATTGTACAAGCTGAAGTTAGAAGCTGATTGGCTACCTGGCACAGCAGCATCAGATTCTGAGCGTTCCAGTTGTAGTAAATCTTCTCCATGGTGTTTTAATAAATGTCTTTTGTGTCAACTTGTCATTCATTTCTAAATTTCTGTAGTTGTCATGAAGACGTTTTTTGCAGTCGTTCGTGGCACTATATAATTCCACATCATATAATACTATACTATACCACATTATATTATTCTGATAATTTACCATACTATACATTATACCATTCTATAATATGTTGTCCTGTGCTAAACTACAATACATATTAATCAGGGCTATTAATATTTGTAAAATTACAAATTGGTTTTGTTCTCCTTTTAGAAGAGCATAGCTGACAGTATGATTGAATAAAACAGTTACTGTGAGTCTGTCAATGTATAAGGGAGGTCGCATTGTATTAAAGCTCACTCAAGTAGACTTAATAACCGCAGTGCGAGGGTCCTCAGGGCACATGATGTACAGGCATCTGTTCGCTTATGAAGACTCATCATGAACGTTATATAGATGAGTTTGAAAAAAAAAAAAATTAAAAATCAAACACCCTAAGGTAGCAGTGCACACACCGCTCATTGCATGCTAATCACTCTTTATTTCCAAAGCAGTGAGCAATTTTGATAATGTTTTCCTTTTATTTAAAAGAATTGTGTGTGCGCAATCCAATCGTCATGGGAATTCTCAGCATCACAGGTGATTTCATTAGAAATACATCCCACAAAATTACATTTTTGTTGTTATTCCTGTGTGAACCCCTAGGGCTAGGAGAGAGTCTGGATGCAATTTTCAATTTCGAAGAAATACAGACGCTCTGGGCTATGGAGACGGGATTTTCCTTCTATTGGAAAGGAAATTATTGAATAAAAATTTTACACCTTAAATAGAATCCCACTCATTCTTAACATACTCTTTTTTGCCGTTCTGTAGTAGCTGCATGCAGTGTATGCCAGCTGTCGGTGACTGATGTACTGAAGCCAGAAAAAAATTCATGCTCAAAGCTGATCTCCGGGGATGAAAAAAATCTGCTTTCCCACTCAACCTCCTTGAACCAAATCTCTTTCTCTCTGTCTCTCTCTCGATATATATATATATATATTATTTGGGGTGTTCAATTCAAACTTGTACTTTTAGTTTTACAGGTATAAAAAGGGATGCTAGGTTGGCGGTACTACACTGTAAGTGGCAAGTGTGTCCTATTACTGATAGGCGGCACACATGTGGCAGGCCAGTCCAGAGACAGTTAATCAAGATGGCAGACAACAGTGTTAGTGTGTGCATGGAACAGCGTGTCATGATGAAGTTTCTTGTGAACAACAGCATAAAACCCACCGATATCTACAGAAGAGTTCAAACACTGTACGGTGGTGAGATGCTTAACTGCAGAAAGACTTTTGAATGGTGTAAATGTTTCAAGGATGGCCATCCATTCATCAGTGACAATCACGGCCATGGTGGATCCCAGCCCACAGCAGTCATTCCTATGAGCATTCAGCGTGTGCAATGGATCCTGGATAATAGAAGCATAACCTGTTATGAAATTGCAAAAGACACAAATATTTCTGTGGGAGCAATGAACACAATAATTCACAAATGTACTAGGATGGTTCAAGTGTAATGACAAATCTTTCTATGCCAAAGCTTTCCAGGCATTGGTTAAACACTGGGATAAGTGTATAAATGTTGCAGGGGAGTATGTAAAAAAATATATGCAGTTTCCACTTCTTATATTTGTTCTTTTATTATGTAAATTTAGAAGTCCCAGTTTGACTTGAACGTCCTTCGTATATATATATATATATATATATATATATATATATACACACACTGCTCAAACAAAATTAAAGGAACAATTTGAAAACACATCAGATCTCAATGGGGAATAATATCATGCTGGATATCTATACTGATATAGACTGGGTAATGTGTTAGAAACGTAAGGATGCCCCATCGTATGATGGAAATGAAAATTATCAACCTACAGAGGACTGAATTCAAAGACACCCCGAAATTCAAAGTGAAAAAAAATTATGCAGCAGGCTAGTCCTTTTTGCTAACATTTCATTGTAGCAACTTAAAATGGTACTCAGTAGTTTCTTTGGCCCCCACGTGCTTGTATGCATGCCTGACAATGTCGGGGCATGCTCCTAATGAGCTCCTGGACAGTCTGAGGTGCATCAGATGAACCCTAAACATGATATGCCAGAGGTGTTCTATTAGATTTAGGTCAGGTGAGCATGGGGGCCATTCAATGGTATCAATTCCTTCATCCTCCAGGAACTTTCTGCATACTCTCGCCACATCAGGCCGGGCATTGTCGTGCACCAGGAGGAACCCAGGACCCACTGCACCAGCGTAGGGTCTGACAACCGGTCCAAGGATTTCATCCCAATACCTAATGTCAGTCAGGGTGCCATTGTCTAGCCTGTAGAGGTCTGTGTGTCCCTCCATGGATATGCCTCCCAGACCATCAGTGACCCACCACCAAAACGGTCATGCTGAATGGTGTTATAGGCAGAATAACATTCTCTACGGCTTCTCCAGACCCTTTCACGTCTGTCACATGTGCTCCGGGTGAATCTGCTCTCATCTGTGAAAAGCACAGGGTGCCAGTGGCGGACCTGCCAATTCTGGTGTTCAATAGCAAATACCAACCGAGCTCTATGGTGCCTGGGCAGTGAGCACAGGGCCCACTAGAGGACATTGGGCCCTCAGACCATCTTCATGAAGTCTGTTTCTGATTGTTTGATCAGAGACATTCACACTAGTGACCTGCTGGAGGTCATTTTTTAGGGCTCTGGCAGTGCTCATCATGTTCCTCCTTGCACAAAGAAGCAGATACTACTGGTCCTACTGGTGGTTTAAGGACCTTCTATGGCTCTGTGTAGCTCTCCTAGAGTAACTGTCTGTCTCCTGGAATCTCCTCCATGCTCTTGTGCTGGGAGACACAGCAAACCTTCTGGCAATGGCACGTATTGATCTGCCATCCTGAAGGAGTTGGACTGCCTGTGCAACCTCTGTAGGGTCCAGGTATCAACTCGTGCTACCAGTAGTGACACTGGCCCTAGCCAAATGCAAAGGCAGTGAAAAACAGTAAGAAAAGATGAGTAGGAAAAAAAGTCAGTGGCCTCCACTTATAAAACCATTACTGTTTTGGGGGTCGTCTCATTGTTGTCAATCTAGTGCACTTGTTGTTAATTTCATTAACACCAAAGCAGCTGTAACTGATTAACAACCCCTGCTGCTACTTAACTGAACAGATATATATACCAGGAGTTTAAATTTTATAAAGTGTTCCTTTAATTTTTGAGCACATATATATATACATATATATATATATATATATACACACACACTATATTTCCAAAAGTATTGGGACGCCTGCCTTTACACACACACATGAACTTTAATGGTATCCCAGTCTTAGTCCGTAGTTTCAATATTAAGTTGGCCCACCCTTTGCATCTATAACAGATTCATCTCTTCTAGGAAGGCTGTCCACAAGGTTTGGGAGTATGTTTATGGGAACGTTTTGACCATTCTTACGGAAGCGAATTTCTGAGGTCAGACACTGATTGGAGGAGACTCTGGCTCGCAGACTCTGCTCTAATTCATCCCAAAGGTGTTCTATCAGGTTGATTTAAGGACTCTGTGCAGGCCAGTCAAGTTCCTCCACCCCAAACTCGCTCATCCATGTCTTTATGGACCTCGCTTTGTGCACTACTGTGCAGTCATGTTGGAACAGGAAGGCCCCCCCCCCCAAACTGTTCCCACAAAGTTGGAAGCATGAAATTGTCCAAAATGTCTTTGTATGCTGACACCTTATGTGTTACCTTCACTGGAACTAAGGGGCCAAGCCCAACCCCTGAAAAACAACCCCACACTATAATCCCCCTCCACCAGACTTTACACTTGGCACAATAGAGTCAGGCAAGTACCGTTCTCCTGGCAACTGGCAACCAAACTCAGACACATCCATTGAATTGCCAGACAGAGAAGCGTGATTCGTCACTCCAGAGAACATGTCTCCACTGCTCTAGAGTTCCGTGGCGGCATGCTTTACACCACTGCATCTGACGCTTTGCATCCCACGTGGTGATATCAGGCTCATTGCCAGAAAGTGAAGCGTGATTCGTCAATCCAGAGAACATGTCTCACTGCTCTAAGAGTTCCGTGCGCATGCTTTACACCACGGCTTGGATGCAGCTGCTCGGCCATGGAAACCCATTCCATGAAGCTTTCTACACACTGTTGTTGTGCTAATCTGAAGGCCACATGAAGTTTAGAGGTCTTTAGCTCTTGACTCTGCAAGCAGTTGACGACTTCTGTGCACTGTGCTCTTCAGCATGCACTGACCTCGCTCTGTCGTTTCTGTTGTTCTCAGTTGCTTCCACTTTGTTATAATACCACTAACAGTTGACCGTGGAATATTTAGTAGCAAGGAAATGTCACAGATTGACTCGTTGCACAGGTAGCAACCTATCACGGTACAAAGCTTGAATTCATTGAGCTCCTGAAAGCGACCCATTCTTTCACAAATGTTTGTAGAAGCAGTCTGCATGCCTAGGTGCTTGATTTTATACACCTGTGGCCATGGAGGTGATTGGTACATCTGAATCCAATGATTTGGAGGGTGTCCCAATACTTTTGGCAATATATATATATATATATATATATATATATATATAAAATGCAGTGCATTCTATGCCTGTGATCAGCTGTGTTCCAAGATCTAAAATTGGAAGGACTGGATAATCCTGCCCTCTCACTATAAAAGGGGCAGAAAAACTATTTTTCTGTTATTTTGGTAATGCTGTGTCCGCTTTGCAGTGCCAAGCTACTGACCATAGCTTGCTTATACTGTATATCATATAAATAGTAAGAATAGAATAACAAAATTCATCCCCCCCAATAGAATTCAGTTTGCTGAAAAGTTCAAAAACTGAACCCAAGCAGATTGGTTTGTGAGCAGGTTGTGGTGTGATGGGGTGGTCTTCACGTCCTTCATGTTCTCCTCCTCTTTGAACGCCAATGTAAGTGGGCAGGTAGTGGTGTGATGGAGTGGTTGTCACATCCTTCATTGGGCACCAAGCAAGGGTCACATGACAGGCCTGCCCTGGGATGGGTTCTTTTGGGCTATGCTAGGCATTTTAGATAGGGTCACCTGCCTAACACAGGGGTAGCTTTACTGGAACAACTGACTGATCTCTAATAAACTCTCCCGATGTTACTGTACATCACCACGGTCACTTGTATTTAGGAGGGGCACGCAGAGCCCTTTACCTCTCCACCTATCCAGCGTATCACCGCTACCTCACTCCCAGTAATAGTATGGGGTCCCGCTGTGCACTTGGCATGGACTCCTTCGCTTACCTCTTTCTCTTCCGTACCTGTATACAGGACAAGGGTCTTGGAGGTGCAGATCTGCTCCCATTGCTATGAGAGATGAATCGCTACAAGAGTGCCACCAACATCTCCCGCACCGCAAGAGACTATCTCACCTGTCACATGTACACAGGCTGCTACAGAAACCTTTCTTACCCTTGGCAACCACTTGCTTATACGCCACACTGTATTATCTCTTAGAAAGCTGTCTTCAGCTGTCACTGTTTTAGTGACCCCCTACTGTAGCTATGTGTAGAATGTGCCAGTTACTTGCATGACACCCTTTTAGTAACTTCAGACCTGGCAAATGCAACAGTTTCAAAACGCTTTCCTGAAAGTTCCAAACATTACAACTTCAAAGTTCACAGTCTTTTCCTAACATTCCTAATCCCTAACTATGAAATCAATAATAAAAGCAAGCGCTATCTAAACAGCTGCTGTGCACTCAAGGTAACCAACATAAGCCTTATAATCAGAAAGAGTAAATAGTGCAGCGCTAAAAATATAATTGACAATAAATGTTAAAAATAAAATTCAATATAAACAGTCTGTGCGGATGTAAAGTGCCAGGTGACTGGTGGACTCAATGGTGGTGCTCCGTGAGAAATAGTAGAATTGCCCACTCACCAGACGTAAAATAATAATACACGTTATATAACACATCAAGAGGTATCCTCATCAGGTATAGGTCTGGTCAGGTTTGGTAATCCTCCCTCAAGGTAGTAATAATCCAAAGCCCAGAAGCCGGAATTATTCGGATCCAGGTAGCCAGAGTTCCCTATTAGGGGATGGATAGAATTGCCTGCTTACAGGATGTCTTCCTCCTCTTGGTAAGAGCTCTGTGAATAAATACTCCTCTCAGGGAGTCAGGGAAGGATGCCCATAGTGTAGTATTGAAAATACAGATGTCCTGTAAGCAGGCAGTTCTATGCATCCCCTAATAGGGAACTCTGGCTACCTGGATCCAAATAATTCCGGCTTCTGAGCTTTGGATGATTACTACCTTGAGGGAGGATTACCAAACCTGACCAGACCTATACCTGATGAGGATACCTCTTGATGTGTTATATAACGCGTGTTATTATTTTATGTCTGGTGAGTGCGCAATTCTACTATTTCTCATGGAGCACCACCATTGAGTCCACCAGTCACCTGGCACTTTACATCCACACAGACTGTTTATACTGAATTTTATTTTTAACATTTATTGTCAATTATATTTTAACACTGAACCATTTAATCCCTAACTATGGCTTGTGGCTGTCCCAGTGTAATTGCATAGGAACAAGTCGATCTTCTCCCCATGTGGCTGGGACTTGTCCTTCCTGAATTTATGAGCACTGAGTGGAGGGGCAGAGCCCAGCAGAAAGTCCACAAAGAAAGAACTGGAAGCATATTAACCATTTCAGGGCCACTTTACATCTTCATGCTGCAGTAAAGCATGGCAACGCATTAAGCATTAAGCAGCCTATAGATGATATGATTTTCTTTCCCTTCTCCACACGTGGAAGGAAGGAAAATCACTCGATTCCCCCATCAGCACAGTCAGTGTTGATGGGGGAATGTCTTCCGGCCAGCAGAACACAATGATTACCGCTAGCTATAGCTGCTAGTAGTAATTGAATGTAAACAAGCTGACAAGCTGGTTGTAACCAAGTCGTTTGACAGAGCAACTTGGGTACAATCCAAAGAATCGGGTATATGGTACTATTTAAATGCAGCAAAAGGTTTGATACCCAAGTTTTGGCATAAGATAGAGGTGCCGAAGGAAGAAGATTGGGTAGATAGAGTGAACCAGATTTGTAGGATGGAGAAACTTTATTATATGCAGGAAGACAAGATGGAGTTATATTATGTGAAATGGAAAAAATGGGAAGAATTTGTACTGAAGGTGAAAGATACGAAGCTTTAGGGTGTGAAATGTGAAATAGCCTCTTACTTTTGTAGGGAAGACGCTGAGAAATGCAGGGTGGGAAGTATGGAGGGGGGGCAAAAACATTTGTAGGGCAAAAACATTTGTAGGGTAAAGCACTTAGTACACCTTCATTTTTACATTTACTTGCTGTTTGACTGAACATGTTTGCCTTCCATAACACCAATTTTAAAACAAGTTCCAGAAATTCACACTGAGCTGTTTTTACTTGCCAGCCCTTTGTTGAAACATTGGTCAGGAGTGACGGGCCTTAAGCAGCTCTGAATGCGGACGCAAACGAAAGACAATGAAACATGAATATAAATACACTGCATATACAGTATCATATTATAACCTTTTCATTGTGAAATGAGCACAAAGCAGAATGAGAAGCCTGGGGGTTCAGTGACTTTTGTCTTTACTTCCTTGCTCATTATAATGTCGCCAACAGCGTTATACGCAGCTCCAGAAATGAACTTGCTGGAACAAAAAAATGGGAATATTATTTGCAGTAGATGGAGATAAGTGTTAGTGGCCTTTAAAGCTGAGCTCTAAGAAAGAAAAAAATAAAATTGGCCATTTGCTGTGCAAAAATAAATTGCCCCACATTTAGCTGCAGCCAATGTTACTTTCATTCAGCCCCCATAGTACTGTAAATGTTGAAAGTGCAGTGCTGAGACTTTTTTTTTCAAAGAGAAAAGGTTTTATTTGAACACAAGCAAAATAAAAATAATACAGCAGTTTAGTGCTGCCAATCAAGCAAAACATAAAATAGAAAACATACTGTAGCTTTCAATCATGCAATCAGATACATAATCAACAGCATCACATATGTCCTACAAAATATAAAGAATCCACTATACACATCATATACAGACAAATAAAGCAGCCTTAAACATAGGTGTTAGCATGAAGGGACCATAGGAATCGCATTTGGACCAGCTCCAGAGGGTTTAGTCCAGGAGAATTCAGCCAAGGAGCCCAGGGCTTCTCAAATATGCCAGGGCAACCTCTATGTTGATACATGTATTTTTCTAAACATAGGGAGTTACCAAGAGAGTGAATCCGTTCTTGGAGGGAGGAATTGCAGATTACCAATTATTCAAAAGTAATTTACGTGCCACAAACAGGCTTTGGAGATAGCTTCCTGGACAAATTCTCTGGGTTCTGCTTCCCCCAATATGTTCAGCAAGCAACACTGGGTCTAATGGTGTATTAGCCTGGAACACCAAGTTAATGATGTCTACCACCCCTTTTTTGGGACAACGCCAATGTAGGTGTATAAGATCACCATGATCACATTGGCATTTAGGACAGTGGGGATCTGGCTGGATACCTGTTCTATGCAAATTCAACAAGGTATAAAGTAGAATATATAATTGTAACAGTTTTTGAGAAACATTAAGATAGCAAGTAGTAACCACCTCAAATGCCTCTTCCCATTGATCACCTGACATGGGGCCCAGATCTCTTTCCCACAGTGTCAGAACCTTTAGGGGGTATTTCTTAAGGTGTTCAGGCAAAATAATAGAATGACAGTGTGAGAGGATTGGGTAGTAAAAATCAAGCTAAAGAGTTGTGTGGGAGATAAGAGCCAATCAGGAGTGTCCACCATTGCCCTGATAGCGGGCCGTAGTTGTACAAAATAATAGTACATATATTCAGGTAACTGAAATGAGTTTTGCAGTTCAGGGAAGGATGATAAGACCCCATCTTTAAAAATGTGGTACAGGTCGGTAATCCCAAAGTTTTTCCAGCGAATGCCCTGCTGCAGTTTAGCAAGTTACTGTTTACTGTCCTGTTACTCCTTGCAGGTACCTAGCCTTATTCCAAATCTTTTGCATCAAGTTATAAGTAGGAAAGTGTCCCTGTGTGTATATGAAAGGGCTATCCTGGCAGTAGAGCTAAGATTTGAGAGTCCCCTTTGACTACGGATGCTGTGAAGCCCACAAGATGTTGCAGTTGTGTTGCTAAGTAATAGAGCCAGGGGCTGGGAAAAGCGAGGCCACCATCACCCTTGGGGTGCTGGAGATGTTCCACATGGACCCTCAGAGGATAATCATTCCAGCTTCAGCTTCAGCTTGGTCCAGAACTCAAAATCAAGTGAGATGTGGGGAAATAATGGGGTTTATTTACTTAAGCTGGAAAGTGCAAAATCAGACTCACTTCTGCATAGAAACCAATCAGCTTCCAGGTTTCATTGCCAAAGCTTCATTGAACAAGCTGAGGTTAGAAGCTGATTGGTTTCTATGCAGAAGGGAGTCTGATTTTGGACTCTCCAGCTTTAGTAAATAAACCCCAATGAGTCTACAAAAATCTGTAAGGACCGATAGATTCCTAAGTATTTAAATTTAGTAGTAAATGGTATAGGGCAA